AAAACTGGCTAAATGCTCATATGGAAATGTGGCCAGCTCGAAGAGTGATTTATATAGAGGCAAAGTATGAAGTTGGACAAGGGGGCCGATGACACGTAAAGGAACAGACGCGGCGAAGGAGCAAACGAAGCCATGTTGCAGTGACACGCAGGTTCCTATAGTTTTGATTACAAACCCAATTGACACGAGTCCAAGGCTTGCGGTGGTTAAATTGAGCACTATCTAGTAGATTCCATTTGGGTTTCTAGCCTTCTATGATCTTTCAAGAAAGAAGAAGAAAACCCTGTCTCAGATATTATCATCCAAGACCGAAAGTGCGCAAGCTTGTTCACTCTCTAGTCTCTTTTGTTTTAAGTTGTAGTATAATCATATTTATACTTGATATTCCAATCCATAAAACTGTACCAGGATCAAGATCAGGGTATTTTCAAAGAAATGGGTTATTTGATAATGCTTCTGACCTGCTCTTGTTTTACATCGAACGTTAAATCTTGATCTTGTGTTTCAGGCAAGTGCACAGCCATTTCTGGTTCTTGTTTGCTGGTGACAGCTTTAGCAACGAGCCACTGATGAAATATTACAGCTTGAGGACAAGCAGGGAGTTTTGAAAGGAGCTGATGAGCACCGTAAAAAACCACCGAATGAAGTAGCTTTGCCCAAAAGGTACTATCTTCTTTTTTTTTTGAAGATTTGCTCAAAATGTAGTGTCTAACCAATGGTTCGTTTGTTCTGGTTCCTTTTTCCCACAATGACTGTCATTTCTTTCTAGTTTCAATGCAGTTTTTGCCTTTTCTCTCTGTTTCCTTTCTTTTTCTTGGGAACTCTAGGGAAGTGCTGCAAAAAGCCATAATATGGTTGCTGCTAATGGCAATGAAGTTACGCTTTCTGAAAATGTTATGGGCTTTGGTTCCTCAACAAGGCATTATTTCGCGGTGGGATCGAAGATCATCCCTGTCTTCCATGTTAAGAAACATGAGACTCCAACCTTTTTGGGGGTGGTTTTAAAAAATCATCCTTTCAAAGAACTCTATCCATTTTATAATCCGAGAATTGCTTATGTTCAGGACTGCCACTGCCAGCTAGTTTACAAGGGGGCGGTTTGCTTACGCCCGGACACCTTCCAAAATGCTGGTGGTGGGATGTAAAAACTATCATTCATTTCCACTGTCAAAAGCATACAGAAAAGAGAAGGTATCCAGCACGGTGAAAACCGCTATAAGGCACCATGCCATGCCACTCGACCACTAGAACCAGAAGAGAAGCTACCGATAATACAGAAAATAAGATAAAAAAAGCAGAGATACCAGACGATCTTGACAATAGTAAACCTAGAGTACTTCTAAACCACTAAGACTCGACATTGACAAACAGAGCCGAAGCAGAGACATATAGGCTACGGCTCCTAGGTTCTGTACTTGGACTCGTCAATGTGGATTCCTTCCTCAGCAGCACGCTCACCGCCTGACTTTTCCATTGTGCTGAGTCCACCTTTTCGGCCCATTTCCTGATACCCTTCAGTTCCTATCTGCTCCTTCCTTGTCTGGCCTCCTTTGCTTCCTAGCTCCTGGTAGCCTTCTCTCCCCAGTTGCTCCTTCCTTGTCTGACCTCCACGGCTCCTCCCTAATCACCATCAAGAAGAAATATATTGAAAAGCAAGAGCCAAACGAGTCGGCCAATATCAAACAAGAGAGAGACGGCATGGTACTGTACCTTCAGCAAGGTGCTCTTGAGCTGCAAGGCTCTTGCCACCAGTTCCGCCGGGGACAACAGTCTCTCCCTTCCTTGCCCTGGCGTCGAGTTCCTCTCTGTCCTGTTGCGAGGCCATGATGACTTTCACTCTTTTGGGGGCCACTTTGCTTTTTTTCTTTTACACAGCTCGGAAACTCGCACAAGCTCACACAAGGTGAATTCACGTAACAATACATACAAAACTGGCTAGATGCTTATATGAAATTTGGCAAACTCGAAGAGTGATTTATATAGAGGCAAGGTATGAAGTTGAGCAAGGGGGTCGATGAAGGAAAGCAGGCCACGTAGAGGAACAGACGCGGCAAAGGAGGGGCAATGAAACCATGTTGCAGTGACACGCAGGTGCTTAACATACTTCGGACGAAAATCCAATTGACACGAGTCAAGGCTTGCAGTGGTAAAATCAGCGCTAGTACCTACTAATTCTATTCGGGTTTCTAGCCTTCTTTGATCTTTCAAGAAAGAAAAAGAAAACCCCGTCTCAGATGCTCTCAAACAAGACTGAAACTGTGTAGCTTTGTTGATTCTCTGTCTCTTTTGCTCTAAGTTGTAGTATTTCTAACTTTTACAAGGGGAAACAGACAACTATAAGCAGGACAAATGAAAGAATTGTCAACTATTTGCAGGCAAGAATGAATGAACAAAAAAGTATCCTGATCAATGCTCCAGCTATGGCAAAGAATAATGTTTGACTTGGCCCCTGGCAATTTGGTTCTAACCACTAAGTTTCCATCGAATTGTCTCTGCAATGCTCTTGCAAAATCCCTGGAACAGAAGCTGGTTGTTGCTCTTACATTCTGCTGTCGTGATAGATAGACTGCTTTTCATGCTGTGCGTAAAAGACCTGCAAGCAATGACTTACCTTTAAGGTCCTTTTAGGGATTGCAATGAGTACCGTAATCGGGATGTTTAGTGTCCCATCCGATTAAGTAATATGGAGATCTTTAAATGTCGGATTTGAATAAGTAATATTTTCTATTGTTCGATTTGATTAAGTAAATAATCGAGAATGTTTTAATGTATTATCTAATTAAGTAATATAAGGAACTCTATTATCCAAATTGATTAAATATATCTTTTATTTCAATATCTAATTCGATAAAAAAATATAATGTCTTTGATTTTATTAAATAATTTCTTTTATCCAATGTTCGATCAATTAAGTAATATGGAAATCTTTAATGTCCATCCGATTAAGTAATATCCTTTATTGTTCAATCCGATTAAGTAAGTAATTAGGGATTTCTAATGTACTATCCCATTAAGTAATATGAAGATTTCTCTATTCGATTCAATTAAATAATATCTTTTATCTTAATATCTAATCTGATGAAGTAATATGAGATTTTGTTTGATCTAATTAAATAATATCTTTTATTTTAATGTTTAATTCGATTAAGAAATATAAAATTCTTAATTGTCTCATCCATTTAAATAACATTTTTTAGGATCTGATCTAATTAAATAAGATTATGATATTTTGAAAAAGTTTAATTTCCAAATGTTAATAACTGAATTTAGTATGTTTCTTTACATGTAAGATTACAAACATTGAATGGAAGAATAAACAAAAAGCACAGACTTGAAGGACATGGTGACCAAAAAATGAAACTCGAGGGCCCATAGAGTCCTACATGTTTAGCTTACAATTGAATAAATTGAGTTATTGCGGTTCGATTTTATCAAAATTTAATATGAATTATTTATTGGATTATTTGAATATTTAAAATTTATAATCAAATTAATCAAAAAAATCTATAATTAATAATGTTTTTTTATATTAATATTAATATTAAAAAACAAGTCAAAATGATTGTAACAAACAGTGGGAGGAGTGTTTGGACATTTGGCAGACAGATTTTACTACACCAAACACAAAAATCCAAAGCCCTACCGGGTGAGTTGTAAGGAAAATTTTCCTATATAAAGCAAACGCTGCCGTAAAGACCGTAACCCTAGTCACTAGTCACCCACCCTGCCTTCCCCTTTCATTTTATTTTGTTTATTTATAAACAAACACTCTCGCTTCTTTTATAAGCTGTCCCCAAAACCCTAGCTCCTTTCAGTAACTGCCGCCAATTCCAACCAGTGAGCCCTTTTCTCTCTCAATCACTCTTATCCCTTTCAATCTACGGGGCGTTTCTCTCTTGATTACTTCTGATTTTTGAGTTCTGATTATTTCCCTTGGTTTTTTTTTTCAGGAATTTCAATAGGTTTGTGATAAGCTGCGAAAACGATGTCGGACGACGAGAGAGAGGAGAGGGAGTTGGATCTCACCTCCCCTGAAGTTGTTACCAAGTACAAGAGCGCTGCTGAGATCGTTAACAGTTAATGTCTTTTTTTGTTTGGTTCACTTTAATTTCCCTATGTTTATTGTCTTTTTTTTGTTTGAGCTTTTGAATTTAATATTAGTTTTTGTTTTTGTCGTTATGATTGGAAAATTTTGCAGAGGCGTTGCAGTTGGTTGTAAAAGAATGCAAGCCGAAAGCTAAGATTGTTGACATTTGTGAGAAGGGTGATGTATTTATCAGAGAGTAAGCGTTTGGTTTTGCTGCTGGTTTAGTGGTTTTATGTTTGATAGTTTGATAATGAAATAGTAGTAATTTATGGTTTTTTGCTTTTGTTTTATGTATTGTGAAGGCAAACCGGCAACATGTACAAGAATGTGAAGAGGAAGATTGAGAGGGGTGTTGCCTTCCCCACTTGCATTTCCGTGAACAACACTGTGTGTCATTTCTCTCCGCTTGCTAGTGACACGTCAGAGTTGGAAGAAGGTGATATGGTGAAGATGTAAGCTTCATTTAGTAGTCAATGTTTCTTTGTTTTTTTTTGGGTTTTCATGCCTTGAATGGCAACTAAAGTCTTTTTTTTACTGGATACAGTGATATGGGCTGCCACATTGATGGGTTTATTGCTGTAGTTGCACATACTCATGTTGTTCAGGATGGGCCACTCACTGGCAGGCAGGCTGATGTTGTTGCCGCTGTTAATACTGCTGCTGAAGTTGCCTTGAGGCTTGTCAGGCCTGGAAAGAAGGTAATCGTCTTGTGTATCTATTCTGTAATATCTTTTGAGTGTTTCTTTAGCTATTGTGCTTTTATTATCTTAAAATCCTTGTGCCAAACTTTTGATTATCATGTTTCAACTTGTGGTTGGTTTTTGGTTTAGTGTAATGACTGTGTTTACGAGTTTTGATATTCACTGAATCCCCTAAATGATGAACCTTTTTGGTTAGCTATGGATCCACATCCAGATGAAGCCTTTTGTCATAGTTACTCTGATAGGGGAATTTATCTCTCACCTTAAGTTTTTGCTACAACATTTCTCATGTTTGCTCAATACACTTTTGATTTAATTCTTGGAAGTGATTGTAAGATGAAGAATAGAAATTTGAAGGCTGGGCAACTTTGCCGAGGTGATCAAATTCTTGTCGATCTCCTCTTTTCCCTGTTGCCAATATTCTTAGTGGTCATGCTAGGCTGCTTTAAGGTGATAGATCTTCCATTGGTTTAATACCAAATGTCTAGGTGGACCAACATATTCTTCATCACCAAACAATGTGGGTTTCTCAATACCGTTTTGATTTAATTTTTGGAAGTGATTGTAAAATGTAGAATAGAAATTTGAAGGCTGGGCAACTTTGCCGAGGTGGTCAATTTCTTGTCGATCTCCTCTTTTCCCTGTTGCCTATATTATGTTTGGTCATGCTGGGCTGCTTTAAGGTGATGCATCTTTTATAGGTTTATTCCAATTGCCAAGGTGGACCAACATTTTCTTTATCACTAAAACAAAGTGAGTGTTACCCTCCTGATTGTTTTCACCAATCTATTGAGAAATTTTATTTAGTAAATGGATTTGTACTATTCTACTATTTAGTTTTTGTCACTGTAGCAAAACTTTTTTTGTTTTTATTCAGAAATTGGTTTTAGTCACTGTGGCAACAGCTCACCTGCTATGAATTTTGCCTCCCCCCCCCCCCCCCC